TGGCAGAGCAGCTGCTGGTTCCATGAGCAGACTGACTGAGGCACTCTCCTTCACCCAGCCAGGCTGGCAGAGCTGGGAACAGGCATTTGAGCCCCAAGGCCAGGGGGAAGCTGTCCCCCTGTGGGTGCCATCCAGGGGCTCAGCCCAGCACATCCCTGTGCTGCAGGGGAAGGCAGGAGAGTTCAGGCAGGAGGAGCTGCATGGGGCTGCCCTGACAGCTTTAACTCACTGGCAAAAAGCTCTTTCTGCAGCCAGACTCATCCTCCAGCTGGCCAAGTCTCCAAAATCCCCAAATCCGTGCTTGTGTTTCAGGCACAGTTTGAAATTTCCCCCTGAGCCTACAAACACAGCGAGGCCAGACTTCCCAGGTGGATTCCAGGGCTGGGCACCAGCCCTTCCCTGCTGGGATGCACAAAATGTGATCTTGGAGAGCTTTCCCAGCATCAGTGATTCTGTGGGGCCAAGGATTCCCCAGGAGCTGCTCCCAGACTCCCAAAATGACCTCACAATCAGCATTTTCCCAGCTCACCGGATTTCAGATGAATTCCACCTTTTCTCTGGTTTTCTCTCTCTCATGATTCCTCCCTGCCACTTTTTAATGTCTGGGTGGGCTCATGTCCTGTGGCGTTTTCCAGCATTCCCTGGAGCAGAACACGACCCTGCTCAGCCAAAAGGAGCAGCACACTGGGCAGCAAAGAGCCCTGCTCAGCTCTCCTGGGAGAAATCCTTACAAAACAAAGATTTCAACAACATAAAGGCAGAGCAGCCTCAGCAAAACCTGCAGTCTTTTCCAAGGCGAAAGAAAATTAATTCCCTGAACGCCTTGTAAGGATTTTTTTTTTTCCTGTTTGGAGCAGATATGAAGGGTTTGCCCAAAGAACAGCAATAAAATCTTGCTGGTGATAAGAAGGCTGCTGTGCCTTGCTGAGGAGCAGGCTGCTGCAAGTGCCACGGAACCAGGCCAGAAATGCCCCAAACCTCCATTCTGTCAGTTCTCAGTGTCTGTAACGTTCCCCTTTTCTTTCTGAAGTCACGGCCTTGCAGCCCAGCAGCAAACAAAGGTTCATTTTAGCCCTTATTGCAGCTAATTACTGCTGCTCCTGATTGCTGATCCCGGCCTAATGCTCCTCTCTGTGATGGCTCCAGAAGGACTCGGAGTCGTTAATGGGACATTTTCTATCCAGGAAATCTGGGGGGGATTATTTATCTCTTTTTATTCAGAAGAAATTCCCTCCAGGATGGGGAGTTAGTCGTGCTCTCTGGATTTTCTCATGGCTCATTTGGAGGTGATCTCTGTACCTGATACATTTTTAAGGGAAATTCAGAGCAGGGATGTTCCAGGGGGGGGTTTCTCCCTGCTGTGGGTAGCACCAATCCTTGCCACACAAAAAGCTGTTTGGGCTCACAGATTCCATGGTTTCCATGACCCTCCCAAACCCAGGCTGGGCAGCAGATTTGGGGCTCTGCACATCTGAGGTGCCCTCAGAGGGATATAAATCTTTTCCTGGGCTTTGTGTGGGTACAAAAGATTTTTTTCCCAAGGCCACAGAGGGTGTGAGGAGCACTGAACTGCCAAAGTGAGAGCCTGAACTGTGATATCTCCTCCCCAAACTGAGATGGACTCCACCTCTCACTGCCAAGAACCTCAGGCTTTAAAAACAATCACTTTTGGGCTCGGGCTTGTGGGGCTTTTTTTTTATTTTTTATTTTTTTTTTCCCAGAGAAGGAGGCCAGCAGCAAATTGCACAGGAGAAGGGTTCCCTGCTGTGCTCTGAGCCAGAGGAGAGGAAAGCAGCAGCTGATCAAAAGATGTTGAACTTGCTGGGGATGAGCTGCCTGCTAGGAGCAAACAGCAAGAGCTCCTTGATTCCCAGCCAGGCCCTTTCCCATTATTCTAATGCAAGTGGAGCTCACACCTGCACTGATGGAGCTGGCTGGGAGCTGCTTTTGGAGGGGATAACGTGGTTTTATTGCAAAGCGAGGGACAAACCCCCTCCCTGGGGCTGGGGAGAGCACGGGGCAGTGCTGGATGGGCTGGGGAGGGAGCAGGAGGAATCCTGCCAGGCCAGGGAGAAGCTGAGCAGAGCCAGGCACGTCTCACACTGACGTCTGCCACAGCACAGAGCCTACAACCACCTCCTTGCAAGAAAAAGAAACACAGAGAATTCACTATTCCTTCTTACATTAAAATCACTGCCTCCTACATCCACATCATTGCTGTCAGAAACATCTTGATTTTCCACACCTAAGGGGCTATGGAAAAAAACAAGCATTTGTGCTAAAAATAAGGGGTTTTTTTTCCCCCCCCCACAAGCTGTATTTATTCAGATCTCTTTTCCTCTAAAACGCAGCATTATTTTAATTTTAATTTAATCCCATATCTGCATAATTGCAGCACTGCCAAACAAACAAATCAGAGTCGCTGGGAAGCAGGAGCAATGCAAAACGTGGATTTAACCAAATTCAATTCCAAACATTCTCCTGTGAACATTCCCTCACGGAAGAGCCACACTTCCCACAGAAATGTCCACGTTTTCATCACAACAAGCATCTCCCCTTCAAATGGATTTTGCATCAGAGAATTTATATTACAGTCAGATCCAGCTCTGAGAGAGCACTTAGGAAATCAGTGCCAGCCCCTCGTGAAACCATCCCCTGCTCTGCTGATTGATTTATCTGAGTTCCTTGGTGTGCTGCTCGTAGGGAACGCGGGGTCCTGAAAATCCCATCCATTTCCCCACGGATGTCCTGGCTGGAGATGGTGCAGAGGGAGAGCAGGCAGCCCAAAGCACGTCCAGGATTTACAGAGCTCGGCGTGGCTCCAGCAGGGAGCAGGGCTGGAACAAGATCAGCTTTAAGGGGCCTGAAATTTCCCTCCTCTGGTTTTCTGTCCTAACCACGCCAAAGCACGTGGGGATTTTCTGAGGGATTTGAAGATTGGTTTGGAAATATCGCCGTGGCTCAGGATGTCTGGAGCTGCTGCAGCACAGGGATGCTCAGGGCAGCGCTCCAGAGTCATTCCACAACTCCTGCCAACACCAGACACACCACCCTGCTCACCCAGGCAGCTCTGGGTACCCCAAAATCACGGTTTTTGAGGCATAAGGGCCAACAATTTTGATTTTTTTGGAATCTAAACGAGTTGTTTAGGAGGTTTCTGCCCTGCTGCTGCCGCCGTGCCCTGCCAGGAGCGGCCTGGGCCGTGAACTTTGGGTAAGAACGTGAGATAATCAGCAGCAGATTCATCAGCAGGGACAAAAGACTGAAAAGGAGTTGAAAAAGGGGAAAGAAAGAAAGAAAAAGTGGGGGGATGGAGATCTACGAATAATTTTAGAAATAAGCTGCAAGTTGCACAGTCACAAAGCGGAGGCTGGAATGCACTTTTCCAGAGTTTGTAAAGACTCATTTAATTTCTATAGAAACTGAGCAGCAAACAGGTAATTTTCTCTGCAAATTGCTTCTATCACCTCTGGAATGCTCTGCAAGAGCAATGTATTTCCCTCGTGTCTTCTTAATCCCCTGTTATTTTCATTATAAATTTAATTAAGCTCTTGTAGAGAACATTCCATGACATATGAGCTGAGTTTTGTTTTTCTGCCGGAGCGGGGACAGAAAGGAGCTGCTGAATTGTGTGGCAATTGGATTTCTTTTCTTCTGGGTAAATATTTCAAATGACACCGAGCAGAGGAGACATTTGCTGAATCAATAGAGCTGAAGCTCAGGAAAGGAGCTGCACAGGAAGGTCTGACATCCCAAAAATTCCTTCAGCCAGGCCTCTCCTCCTTGGACAAAATTAGGGAATATCAAGAGCAAGTAAATCAGGGAAATGCCAAGATTTTTGGGGGTTTTTTTTTGGTGGTTGCAATAAAAAAAGTCCATTTTTTACACTCCCTGCAACCCAAAATGTCACCAGCATTTCATTTCATAACCTGCCCAGCTCCCCACTTCACCAATGGCAAATGTTAAAAATGAATCATTTCATTACAATTTATTTTTAATGAGGTCTAAAGGCTCTGGTGCCAAAAGCATCACGAAAAACTGAGTTTGAATACAATTCACATCAATACCTTAAGTTAATATAAAATGAAAACCACATTAGCAGAGGTTGGGCATTTTAACCCCTCTTTTTAACCTGTTTAATCTCGTGTTATCAGGCAATAACAGCTCCCCTGCAGAGCTGGGGTTGTTTGTTTCTATTTCAGCCTCTTCCCAGCTCAAGGCCATGACAAGTCACCCTCCCAGCAGGCACGTTTGGGGACTCAGGAGGCACAGCAGGGCTGTCAGAGCTGCACACCAGGGAATCAAATCCACCAAGAAGATGTTTTTCACAGGACTGATCGAGCTCTGGAACATCTTCCTGAAGGAAAGCAGGAATTATTTCTCCCCAGAGACACGACTCAAACCTTGACCTGCAAGCAGCCAGATCTCGTGTGTGATTATTCTGGAATTTCTGTTCCCTGTGCTGCATCCATTTCAATGCTCTCTAGCAGTGATTTTTCCTCCCTGCCTTGTTTTATTTGATTCTTGTCACAGAAAGGAGATGTCAGGAAATCTGACACATTGCTGTGCCAGCAGCAGGTGAGAATCTCACGATTCAATTCCCACCTGTGCCAGGGCCATTTTACACCAATTTTCTCTGTAGGAAAACATGGAATGAAAGCAATAAAAGCTGTGGAAGACGTGTGTGTGCTGTGCACAGCTTCAGCACTGCCTGCATGAACAGGGGGTGCATAAATCCCTGCTCAGGAAGGATTCAGTGGGAAAGCACTGCCTAAAGTTCTACAGCACCTAAAGCTGCCTAAAGCACCGTTCTACAAGCTTGGAAAAGAACTTGTCATCAAATAACTTCATTTTCTTTTGCTCTCTGAGTGTTCACGCTTAAAATCTTCCATTAAAAAGGGCAAATATTTTCCTGTAATCAGCAGGGGACAGGACAAGGTGCTTTAAGAATCACAGTTGATGTGGGAAAGCTCAAGCTGCAGATCCCAGAGCTGGTGAATTTACAGATCTGTCCTTCCTGGGATAAGCCTGGGTCTGGGCATCTTCGCCTCGCTCACAGTCCTGTTCCCGGGTTTGCCCCCCGAGGCCTCCTGGAGCAGGGTGATGATGTTCTCCCGCTGGTGCCTCACGGCCAGCTGCAGGGCCGTGCACCCGGCGATGTCCTCCACGTCCAGCAGCGCCCCTGCCTTCAGCAGGGTCTTGACGATGGCCATGTTGCCCTTGAGCACCGCCAGGTGCAGCGGGGTCCAGCCCACCTTGTTCCTGGCGTTGACGTCGGCCCGGCACTCCAGGAGGTTGATGACGCCGAGGAAGGAGCCCCTGAGCACGGCGAAGTGCAGGGGGGCCCAGTGGGACCTCTCGGCCGTGTTGGGGTCGGCCCCGCAGCGCAGCAGCTCGCCGACCGCCGGCTCGTCGCCGTAGCGCGTGGCCAGGTGCAGCGGCGTCCAGTCCATGCTGCCCTTGGCGTCCAGCCGGGCGCGGCTGCCCTTCAGCAGCCGGATGATCTCGATGTGCCCCTTGAAGGAGGCCAGGTGCAGGGCGGTCCAGCCTTTGTCCGTCCTCAGCTCCACGTTGGCCCCGTATTTGATGAGTTTCTCGCAGATCAGGTACTTGCCCCTGACCACGGCCAGGTGCAGGGCGCTGTAGTGGTTCTGGTCCAGGCTGTTGACGGAGATGCCGTTCTTCAGCAGATACTGCACCACCCTGAACTTTCCCCTCTCCACGGCCACGTGCAGCGGGGTCCTGAGGTTCTTCTGCTTCCTCTCCAGGTCGGCCCCCTGGCTGGCCAGCAGCTTGACCAGGCCGACGTGCCCGAAGCACGCGGCCACGTGCAGGGCGGTCTTGCCGTCCACCTCCTGCGTGTTGGAGTCGGCCTGGCGCGACAGCAGCACCCGCGCCACGTTCTCGAAGTTGTTCTGCGCCGCCAGGTGCAGCGGGGTCCACCCGTCGTGCTCCTGGGCGTCCACGCGGGCCTGGTGGTCCAGCAGCAGCCGCACGGTGCGGTCGTCGCCGTGCTGGGCCGCGAAGTGCAGCGGGCTCCAGCCGTCCTCGTCGGCCGCGTTGACGTCGGCGCCGTGCTCGATGAGGACGGAGCAGATCTCGGGGAGCCGGCGCTGCACGGCCAGCAGCAGCGGGGTGCAGCCGCCGCCCGCCGCGCCGTTGACGCCGGCCCCGCGGCCCAGCAGGAAGCGCACCCTGCCCACGTTGCCCTGCAGCACCAGCAGGTGCAGAAGGGTCAGGCCGTTCTCCTGCACCCTGCCCAGCTCCTCGGGCCCCAGCTCCTCGGGGCTGCCGGCCTCCCCGTGTGGAGGTGGGAGAGGAACCTCCTGAGGGTCCTTTCCTAAAGAAAAATGGGAGAAAAAAGAGTGAAAAACTCCCAGGAAGGGAGGAGAGCCTGTGACTTCGTAGAATGACATGAAGTCATTTGAGAGATGAGGAATGTAAAATAAAGCCAGACATGCACTGGGACATTTGGCCTCTCTCTCACAGTACCTATTTCCTGAATAGTTCATTTTCCTTAACTTAAAATTTTCCTTAATTTGAAATGTCCCCCACAAGGAAAACCTTATGAGCCACATCTTTCTACAACAAAACAGACAACTTTTACAGCTTCCCCTTTTTTAATTTTCAATTCTAAAGCCACTCCCCTACTTACCCCCACTCCTGGTGTCTCGGGGGAAGGTGAACTCCTCTTTGTCACCCTTGTTTTCAGAAATGAGGAAAGGAAAAGGATAAAACAGAGTGTTTATTTCCATTCTGTAATGTTTGCACCAAGTCCTTTGCTGCTGCTCTGCAGTTTTTTGTCATCATTTGAGAGTTTTTTATGCAATCCTGGTTTTGCACCCAAAACTCAGCTAAGCCAATCACGACACAGCAGGAATGGGGGAACATGAAGATGATCTCTGGGTATCCATGAGCTTTTCCTCCTTGTGCTCATTTGCTCCCAAACACACCCATATTCTACTTTCTGACTGCATGGCAGCATCCCAAAATTATTTCCTTTGTTGTTTAGGGACCCCCAAGCCCCTCCTTCTTCAGGCCTCTGGTTTCTTGCACAGCTTGGCAAAACCCTCTAAATACCAATAATTCCCAGCTCCTATCTCTCTCTGTTTTCTAGGCACAATTACTCCAGTAGCTGGGATTACATCGTTACTATCCAGAAGCCTGATTTTTTTTCTTAGCCAGAGAAACATGGGGATTTCAAACTATTTAAAAAAAAAATTCTGTAAGAATTGTTCCAAGTGGAACATCCTCAGTTTTTTGTGCTGTGAACAGAACCCTGTGATTTTGTGTTTGCTTGTGTTTCTTTTAGTGACTGAATAATAAACTCACTTTACCTGAGCAGGTCCAGAAAAGGGTTTTCCTCTCAAACTCTTTTATCATTTAGTGCATTTGTTAATTAATTTGCAAGCGTCTTATCCCCATCAATGAATTACAGAGGCACAGCTTGTGCAGACACCCTGTGAAGGTGCTGAGGTGCACCTTTGGGAGGGGAAAGAGCTTCAAGATGTGGTAAGAACAAGGAGCAGACTCAGAGGACTTTGCTGAGAGGCGCAGGGGGGTTCTCCTCACCTGCTGGCTCCTGGAGATGGCCGGTTTGTGGGACATCTTCCTGACCAGGCGCTCGTTCTCCGGGTCCTGCACCAGGCTCTGGATCAGAGCCAGCAGCACGTCGGTCTCCACAGGGATATCTGCCAGGGCACAGCAGTTCAGCTCTGCAGGCTGCCCCAGCTCCAGAGCCAGGCAGGACCCACGTGGGAAGGGAGGGAAAAGGGATGAGGGGATGTGTGACAGCGAAAGGGCACCCAGCTGTTAAACCATGGAGTGAAACTGGGAAAACTGGACACAAAGCCTGCTTATCACCCCACGGGGCTGACCCTTGGCTGATCCACACCCTGGTCCCACCTGCAAAGCTGGGCCTTTGCTTGGGGTCCTGGTCCCAGCACCTCTTCATCAGGTCGACCATCTGGTGGCACTCCCCGGGCCAGTCGTCCCTGACGAGCTCCAGCCCCGGCCTCTTCCCCGCTGCCACCTTCACGATGATGGCCATCATGTTGGCCCCTGGAAAAACCCAGCACATCCTGGGTGTTCTCCCTGGGAAAAGGGCTGCAGTAAACATTCCAGGGGTGCAGGGTTTGTGTTTACCTGTGTAAGGCTTTTTCTGCATGAGCACCTCCCAGATGACGATGCCGAAGCTGCGGGGGAGGAGAGACCGTGAGCACATGGACATGAAATGCACTCATTGCTTCTGCCTTCTGCAGAAATGGGAAGATCAGGAAGGAAGTTCTTCAGGAGGGAAGGATTTCATCTCCCAGAGCAGAAGGATTTCATTCCCCAGGCCAAAAGGCTCAGGCCTTGTGGTTCTGCCTCATTCATCTCCCTTCAGAGTGAGGTCATCACCCTCCAAAGGGTCTGAGCAGTGAATCAGTGACTTGGGGCCTTTCCTGGCAAAGTCAGGCTCTCAGTGCCTTTTTTCCACTTTATTCACATTGAGGTTTCGAGCCTTTAGCTCCTGCAAGTCCCTGTGACCGTGCAAATCCTCCTTTCCCTCTTGCCTCTACCCTCTGTGCTGCAAAGGCCAAGGAGTGAGCGATTTCCAGACATGGACGTGGAGCTCGTGTCAATGTGCTGCAAAGCTCCTCACCCAAAAGGGCAAAAGCCAAGCTGAAATCTCTCCTCTGCCTCTTCCTGACCAAAATGAAGCTGAACACGGAGGCAGATAAGCCAATATTGGAATTGTTTTAAAATCAATCTCAGCAGGGACTGTGATGGAAGAGCAGCACTGGCTGTTTGGGCTCTGCTCTCACTCCTGTTCATGGGAACAGGGTGTGATGGCACCTGGGGCAGTGCAGCCTGCAGCTCCCTTGGGAGGTGCATTGGGATGATGACTACCCACAGAGAACCCTCCTCCCTCTCAGTCTCACCACCAATGTGAGTTCCCCAGTGTGTTCCCCACATCCTAGGAGGCAGAAAACCAGAATTTTAACAAACTGAGGCAGTGTTTGCTGGGTGTCACAGCTCGGGGACACCCCTGGGTGCCCTGGGCCAGCCCTCACCTGTACACATCGTACTTGATCCCCGGGGGTTTGCTGTTCTGCAGGAACATTTCGGGGGGGATGTAGCTCAGGGTGCCCCTCAGAGCTGAGCTCTCGATGTACTGCATCCTGCTGGATTGCTCCATCCACTTGGACAGCCCAAAGTCGGAGATCTGCAAGCAGGAACAGGGAAGCTGCCCCAAAATGCTCACACTCAGCCCTCCTGCTGTCACCCAGACATCTCCCATCTTTGGATCAGGGACAGGGGGAGGTGTGAGCAGCTGGAGCGTGACAAAACCTGACAGCCTGCAGCCACTGAGTCCAGCTGGAGCCTGTGCTGGCCCAGAGTCCCTGTGTGACCCTGAGAACACCGTGTAATTTGCTCAGCAGCTGCTTGTTAAACACCCCACAGGTCACTCTGTCACGGGGTGTTCCTGAAGAACCTGATTTGCTGGGATTCTGGCCCTGTCTGGCAGAAATAGCCTGGCTCTGACGTGAGGGACGGCCGTACCTTGACGTGCATGTTCCCATCCAGGAGAACGTTCCCTGGCTTCAGATCCAAGTGCAGCAGGGGAGGGCTCATGCTGTGCAGGAAATTCATGGCCAAGCCCATCTCATGGATCACCCGGAATTTCAGCTGCCAGGACATTCTGTGGGTGGGAAGGATCCTCTCCAAGGACCCCCTGGCCATGTATTCCATCACTATCCCCAGAGGGCTGTTGCACACCCCGTAGATGGTGACAATGTGCTGGAATTTGATTTTCTCCATCTTGCTTGCCTCCTCCATTAGACAGTTCATGCTGGTCCTGGAAAGTGGAAAATAAAAAGTAAAAAATAAAAAATAGGAAAAAAAATTTAAAAATCGAAAAAAAAAATAGACTGGGAGCAAGAAATTTTATCAGTTGATTCACAGGCTCAGTAACTCTGTAGTAACTTAGTGACACCCAGCCTTTCCGAGCACTGCCTACCCCAAAAAGATTCATCCCAAATTCCCCCTTGAGCTGATGATAATGCTGCCACACAGTGATCTTTTGCAGACTAAAATCTGACATGGATGGTGTTGTGCCTTCTCAAAACGAGCTGAGGTTTATTTGGTGGTTTATTCAGCCACCACAGGGAAAGAGATGAAAAACTGGCACTTGTTTCAATCCTTAGCAGTGAGGACAGAGAGCCTGTGCTTGTGACACTGGTGACACGGCTTTATAGTGCCCCAGGGCAGGGTTAGATGGGGAGGAATCCTTCCCTGTGACAGCGAGGAGGGGCTGGCATGGAATTCCCAGAGGCTGCCCCCTCCCGGGAAGTGTCCAAGGCCAGGTTGGAGCAGCCTGGGACACTGGAAGGTGCAGTGGGAGGACACTGCAGGGAGGATTGAAATGAGCTTTAAGGCTCCTCCCAGCCCAAAGCACTCTGTGGACCCATGGAATTGCCAGCGTTCCCTGGCAGCAGGATGCCAGGAGCGGGCACAGCTCCGTGCCACGCCTTGGCCACTCCTGCAGCTCCTCCTGTGCCTGCAGCTGTGTCCCTGGGTGTCTGTCCCACGGTGACTCTGCTCCCAGGGGCAGCCTGCCGTGCCTGCTGCTGCCTGCCAGCTCTGGCAGACCTGTTTCTCCAAATTCTCCAAAGGCTCACCCCTCCCGACCTGCTGAACGAGTTTGGGGGAGCAGCCAAGCAGCAAAGTGCCAGGAGTGCCTTGAAAAAGCACACCCTGGGAACGGAGCTGAGCTGCCAGCAATTAGGCCGGGCCATTAATTGATCTAAAATGGTTCAGCTAAGCAAAATCTTCTGCCAGAATTCCTCTGGCAGGCTCCTCACAGTGAGACCTACCCGTGGGTTGAGGAATCTCAGGTATTTTAATACAATTGATAAATTACAGAATTAAAATGGATTATTTGACTCTTCCCCTCCCCACCCCACCCCCCAACAAAGAAGAACAAAATGCAAAAGGAGAATCTGCAGAGCAAACTGAGGACAGTCAGTGCTCAGTCTGAATTCAGTTGTTGTCCGTAAGAAGAAATCACAAGAGTGAGATTTTTATCCAGGCAGGATCTTTCCAAATCGAAGGGAATAAAATTTTAAATTAAATAAGTCCATCAACTGTGCTGTTTTCCCATCAGCTCTGCCTGCATTGGATGTGTTATCAGCAGTGGTTGTGATTACCTGGCCCTGCTCCATCTCCAGACACAAGGTGGGCACCAGAAGAGTCTCTGGTGAGAGACAGCAAGCAGCAGAGAGGAGCTGCAGGTGCACCACGGAGAGGAAAGAGATGTCTGGAGGCTACGGGAGCAGGGCAGCGAAACCAGCTGGAAATCCTCTGCCCCTCATCTTTAAACCTGGTGCTTTTGGTGATTAATTCAGTCTGATGGATACACCTCAGCCCAATGTGCAGTGGGAGCTGTAAATAACCCACCAGGCTGCTTTTATCCGTGGGCAAGGTGCTGACCTCAGCCCTGCTCCGTCCCCCGTGTTCCTTGTGCACCCACACGAGACAGGGAAAGGCAGAACTCCTATTCCCCACTCCCTCTGAGTACCCAACCCTTCCCACGGAGCAGAAACTCCTTCCTGCAGAGTTTTATCCCCCAATCCATCCAGCTGGCGTGGCCAGAGCAGAGCAGGGCTTACCTGTCGAGGCTGGAGTCCTGCAGCAGGTACGGGGAGCACTTCACCGCGTAGACCGTCCTCCACCTCCTGTGCTTCACCTGGTACACGTGGCCAAAGCCCCCGCTGGCCACCTTCAGCCACTCATCCTCAAAATCCTCCCTGCTGAACACGGTCAGGCTGCCCAGCTGCCCGCCCCGCTCCGTGCCCATGGCACAGCTGGCTCTGCTGCCTGCTGGGGAGGCACAGGAGCTCCTCCTGCCCTGCCCTGCCCTGCCCTGCCCTGCCCGGGGAGGTGGGGATTCACCCCAGGGCAGCCCTGGCAGCTCCTGCCAAGAGGTGGATCCTCAGTGTGGCCGCTCAGTGTTCTGCTCAAATGCTCACGTATTTTATTTTTCACTCAGCTCAGCTCAGCTCCAGCCTGGCAGCGTGGCTCTGCTCTCTCACATCCAGCACTGGATGGGCAAATCCTCAAAGAATTTCGGGTGGGAAAGGGTGCAAAGGATGAGCCTTCAGTGGTTGCTGTGTGCTGAGAGTGGGATTCCTCACCTGAAGCATTTGTGGGAAGGGAGGTGGGACCTGGGGCAGGGTGAGGCTTGGAGGGAACAGAGAAACCCACCAGGCAGAATTGTACATGAGGGACCATGGAAAACACTCCAGAGAGAATAGGGGAAAAAAACCCCAGAAGAAGCTGGATGGAGAGGTGGAAAACACTCCAGAAAGATGAAAAACTGAGTTAAAAAACTCCCCAGAAGTAGCTGGATGGAGAGGTTCTATAAAAAAAAAACAAAACACTCTAGAAAGATAAAGAACAGGAAAAATCCCAAACAACCAGAAGTGGCACCTGTGTGCATGAGGCTGAGAAAAAACCTCAGCAGAAATACCAGAAATGTGGCAAACCAGAGCAGTTCCCTCAGGGATAAAACAAAATCTCCCTGGCAGTGGGTGTTTGGAGGAACACAGACTGGTCAGAGCAGTTTAACCCTCACCATGTGAGCACCAGGAGCAGCACACACACCTTCGGCTGAAAAGGGGTTAAAAACTCTCGTCTGGGTCTTGTGCATTTGTGTCTTTAATACCTCAGCTCTCTCTGGAAGTAGCTCAGTGTCAAATACAAGGTGGTGCTGATTTGCTCAGTGCTACAAATAATAATTAGCACTGCTGCAGGGTAATTGTCTCACTGCCAACAAGCATTGGCCTGGGATTTTTAGTTCTGTGGCAGAATCTTGAGGAAATCCTTGGAGGAAGCCTGGCCCAGGTGGAAATGTGAGTTGCTTGTGTTACACTGACACCAGGGGCTCTGGCAGTGGACTCCCTTCTTTTCAGGAGAGGGAAAAGAAAAGGAAAAAAGGCTCTGCAGCATTCAGGGAGGAAAAACCCCAATTAGAAGGAGATTGCTGCCAATTCCCTGGCACTCCCCAGGAGCTGCCCACCTGGAGTGATGCCCTGCTGCCCTCCACTCCCAGCTGCCAACACAATTTTGGAGCTGAGGACAAGGACAGAGGGCCCCATTCCCTCCCCTGCAGACACAGACCAGACAAACACTGCGAGGCTCAGGTTTATTGCAGAGCTCAGGAGCAGGGGAACACTCAGCCCACGGCTGCAGAGGGGCAGCAGCTGCTGCTTCTCTCCCTCCCCACACCTTCCACGTGCCAACAGAAATGCCCCAGAGCTCAGGAATGCCCCAGAGCTCAGGAGTTCCAGCTCTGAGGGCAGGAGGAGCAGGAGGTGAGGTGCTGCTGGTCATTCCCTCCCCACATGTGCTTTCCTTGCTCACTCTCCCGGTGCTGCAGCTGCTGCAGGAGGTCCTGCACAGGATGGAGCAGCCCCAGCTCCTCTGGGACAGGGGGATGTGGGGCTGGAGCCTGGAGGGGGCTCTCACAGCCCCCCCTGGCTGCTCTCCCGACAGCCAGCCCCTGAAGCCCCCAGGAGAGCCCTGTGTGTGTCCCCCATCCCATGGATGCCTTTCCCCAGTGCATTCCACAGATTCTGGAGTTCTCTGACCATCAGTGGGGTCTTGGTGAGAACAGCAGCAGGACTAAAGGGAAGGAGGAAGGCACTTGGCTCCTTGGAGGTGAGAGAAGCTGTAAATCCAAGGGGACACATCTCTGGGGCTCTGGGTCGTGTCCACACACCCAACTCCATCCTTTTCCCCTCCACCTCCCCCTGGGGGCAGGCTCCAGTGCCCAGTGCTGTGTTTCACCTGGCTCTCCCCTCTGCTGTGCCCAGCCTGGGCTGGCTCTGCCGGCCCCGGGGCACACAGCGATTCCTCCTCTACCCTGCAGTCTGTGGGCTCTGATGCAGAAGGAGAAGAAGGGAGGAGAGGCAGGCTCGGGGCAGAGGTGGCATCTCCTGCTCCCTGGTCAGCAGGGGCTCTACAGAAGCAAAGCAAATTCAGCTGCTTCTCTGGTGGCTGGTGGAGCTGCAGGAGCAGTTCAGCTGCTGGGATCAGAGCCCGTGGAATTCTCCAAACGGGGGATAACGGCTGGGCTTGGCTCTGTGCCGCTGGTGCAGCCACAGCCCCATGAAAGCACTGCCCAGGACTGCACAGCCAGCCAGGGCCCCCAGCAGGATGGGCAGCAGCGTGGCAGGAGCAGCACCTGGACACACAGAGAGGGAATGGAGCAGTGAGAAATGTTCTTTGCACAAACAAGCACAGCCACAAGGAGTTAGGGATGTTTTGAGAAGTCTCTCATGTTTTACCAGCTCAGTGTCACTCTTTTCTGACAGCTATAAACATTAATTAACATCAGCCAGCTTCTGTGTTTCACCTGTGTAACACTCCTGACCTATGGTCAGCCTCATTCTGCTCCAAAATGCTGCAATTCTTTACAAACAGAACATTCTGCCTCATTTTTCTCCCCTTCCCTCCTCCTAAATCTTCAGTTCCCTCACAGGGTGCCTTTGGAACTCTGTTGGATGTGACCCTGATTAACCCCCACATCTGCGATTCAGGGAGGCCAAAGAAAAGGTGAGGAGTTGTTGGGATATAACCTAATCAAGAAAGTTATTAAAAATGTGCTGGTTTTTCTGCAGGAAAAGCTGAGCAAAAACCTCTGCAAGAGAAATGAAACCAGGAGAGCCCCACCTTCTACTGGCTTCAACAGAAACCTGTTGTTCATCCTCCAGACGGGCCCGAGGGACACCAGATTGTGCAGGTTTCCATGGCTGGTCCTGTCACTGGGCTGGGCGAGGGGCTCCACACTTTCCAAGCAGCCCTGGGAAAGAGGTGGAAAACACTTGGAAGTGTCCTGAACAGAACCCCCTGCCCCAGGGCTTCCTCAGTCGTTTCCACCTCTGCTGTCATTCCTAAAGGTGAGTTTCCAATCCTTGCACCAGGACATGTGTAAATCTTAATTCCCTTTTTTAGGGATTACCAACTATTGCCACCCTTACCTTTAACTCCTCTCCCAGACTTTAATCAGGGGTTGGCTCTGGAAGCACCAAGGGAGCAGATCCCCCCCAGTACCTGTTCACATCCCGGCTGGCCTGGCAGGCAGACCCTCAGCTCGCAGTGCAGGTAGGCCACGGAGTGGTTCAGCATCTGGAACAGCTGGATGGAGAAGCTGGCGGCTCTGGAGCTGCCACCCTCCAGCAGCTGGATGTGTCTGCACTCCAAGGGCAGCCTGGCAGGAGCAACCAGCAAAGAGCTGCAGATCCCAGCTCTGCACAAACTGCACAGCCCAGCCCTGTCCGAGGGGCAGGAAAATCCAGCAGCAGCAGCAGCACTCCCTGCTGGAGCTGCCCTGCTCAGAGCCCAGAGCAGCAGAGCTCTTTGGGGAGGTTGGTTTTGCTGTGGTGTGCCCATCACCCCCTGAGCTGCTGGAACCCACATTTCACCCCTCTGTGGGTTTACAAACCCCGGGCAGTGACTCCTCCATGCCCCTGGGGGGATGAAAAGGGCTGTGGGTGTACCTAGCTGGCACCCCTGCCCTGCCCTGCCCTGGATGTGCCTCCACAGCAGGAAGGGGACGCTGCACCGCTGTGACAGCCCCCGGGGGGAGCAGGACGGGTTGTTTCCATCCATAAATCCTACCCCAAGGGAGCTGTTCCCCATTCCCACCTGCGGAAGAGGCAGCACTGGGCCCCCGCAGCGCCGGGGGTGGCCGAGGGGGACACGCAGCACGAGTGCAGCTGCAGCAGGGCCTGGCTGCTGTCGCTCTGCAGGGCCACCAGGGCCACGAAGGTGTCGTGGGGCCGCTCCGAGCCCGGCTCCCCGCGGGCTGTGTCCCCTGCGGGGCTCAGGCTCAGCCGCACCGAGTGGTTCCCGGCGCCGCAGGAGTCGCTGACGACGGCGAGGCTGGGGACAGAGGGGACAAATGGAATAGAATAGAAAAGAAGGGAATATGGAGTTATGATATTTTCCGAAAAATCCTTTTGCTAGGATTTTTGCTCCTGAGAAGCTGAGGAGCCTCAGGAAAGAAATGTAAACAATAACTATCTGCTGCTGTGGAATGTAACAAGTGCATCTCTGATTTGTGCATGAGAATTGTTTCTAATTAATGGCCAATCACAGTCAGATGGCTCCGACTCTCTGAGAGTCATGAGCTTTTGTTATCATTCCTCTCCTGTCCTTTCTAGCCTTCTAATGAACCTTTTCTATCTAAACTTTTTAGTATAGTTTTAGTATAGCATTTTAACATAATATATATCATAATATAATAAAGCAACCTGCTGAAACATGGAGTCAAGATTCAGGTCTCTTCACTCGTCCTGGGAGCCCCTGTCAGTTCAACCATAGGAATAGGAGAGAATGGAATGGAATGGAATGGAATGGAATGGAATGGAATGGAATGGAATGGAATAGAATAGAATAGAATAGAATAGAATAGAATAGAATAGAATAGAATAGAATAGAAGGGAAAAGCAGCCGGGCTGCGGCGGAGCAGCCCAAGGGAGCCGGCGGTACTTGCCCGTCCAGCGCGGTGACATCCGAGCGCAGCGCCCTGCTCTGGTGCCAGTCGCTCCGCAGCGCTCCGGGCTCCAGGGTCACCGCTGTCCCCAAGCCTTCAGCTGCTCCGTCTGTCACCTCCCCGGTCCTGCTCTCCTGCTCCGTGCCCGGCAGCAGCCCCGGGGTCGAGCCCGCAGCCCCCAGCCCGGGCTGCCCCGGCGCTGTCCGAGCCCGGCTCCCGGCGGGGCTGCGGGGGCTCTGCGGGCCCGGGGGCACCCGGGGAAGGGGCTCCGGGTCCCTGCCATGGCCAGCGGGCTCAGCTGTGCCCTCATCAGCGAGCCTGGCAGCGGCCACAGCAGCTGCTGTGGGTCTGGGGGGGCGGGCAGCAGTGCCAGGGCTGGAGTGACCACGGTCTGGTTCCGTGGCATCCTCCTCCAGAGGGGGGGACACCTTCTCCAGAGGGTGGGACATCTCCTCCAGAGGGTGGGATACGTTCTCCTGAGGGTGGGACTCCTCCAGAGCGTGGAACATCTCCTCCGGAGGGTGGGATGTGTTCTCCAGAGTGTGGGATACCTTCTCCAGAGGGTGAGACACCTCCAGAGTGTGGAACATCTCCTCCAGAGGGTGGGATACGTTCTCCAGAGGGTGGGACACCTCCAGAGCGTAGGATACATTCTCCTGAGGGTGGGATATGTTCTCCAGAGGATGGGATAGGTTCTCCAGAGTGTAGGATGCGTTCTCCAGAGGGTGGGACATCTCCAGAGGGTGGGATACATTCTCCAGAGGGTGGGACATCTCCAGAGGGTGAGACACCTTCTCCAGAGCATGGGATACATTCTCCAGAGGGTGGGACACCTTCTCCAGAGGGTGAGACCCCTCCAGAGCGTGGAACATCTCCTCCAGAGGGTGGGATGTGTTCTCCAGAGTGTGGGATACGTTTTCCTGAGGATGGGATACCTTCTCCAGAGGGTGAGACACCTCCAGAGCACGGAACATCTCCTCCAGAGGGTGGGATACCTTCTCCAGAGGATGAGACACCTCCAGAGTGTAGGATGCATTCTCCATAGGGTGGGATATGTTCTCCAGAGGATGGGATAGGTTCTTCTGAGGGTGGAACATCTCCTCCAGAGGGTGGGATATGTTCTCCAGAAGGTGGGACACCTTCTCCAGAGAGTGGGACATCTCCTCCTGAGGGTGGGACACCTTCTCCAGGAGGTGGGATATGTCCTCCATAGGGTGGGACATCTCCAGAGGGTGGGATACATTCTCCAGAGGGTGGGACATCTCCAGAGGGTGAGACACCTTCTCCAGAGGATGGGATACATTCTCCAGAGGGTGGGACACCTTGTCCAGAGGGTGGGATACATTCTCCAGAGGATGGGATACATTCTCCAGAGGGTGGGACATCTCCAGAGGGTGAGACACCTTCTCCAGAGCATGGGATACATTCTTCCATAGGGTGGGACATCTCCAGAGGGTGGGATACATTCTCCAGAGGGTGGGACATCTCCAGAGGGTGAGACACCTTCTCCAGAGGATGGGATACATTCTCCAGAGGGTGGGACACCTTGTCCAGAGGGTGGGACACCTTCTCCAGTGGGTGGGACATCTCCAGAGGGTGGGACACCTTCTCCAGAGGATGGGATACATTCTCCAGAGGGTGGGACACCTTGTCCAGAGGGTGGGACACCTTGTCCAGAGGGTGGGACATCTCCAGAGGGTGGGACACCTCCAGCAGGAGTCTGGGTGACGCTGGCTGTGCAGCTGGCACGGGTTCCTGGGTGGGCAGCTGCCTGGTGGGGGCTGCCTCTCCTCCTGCTGCCCCCTCAGCGCTCCCCAGCAGCACAGGGAGCTGCCCTGGGGGCTCCAGCACCACCCTGGGCTCGGGCTGCCCAGCTGGGCTTGGCAGGAGGAGCAGCTCTGTGCCCGCGAGCGGGGCAGTGCCACCGGCACCCTTGGCCGCAGGGACAGCAGTGCCCTGGCTGGGGCTGGGATGTCCCCCCAGGGCAGGGACAGAGCCTGGCTGGGCTGGAGTTAAGCCCAGCTCGTGTCCCAGGGCTGCTGGCGGTGGCTGAGCTGTCCTGGGGCCGGACACGGCCGAGGGGGACACGCTGCTGCCCAGGGAGCCAGCAGAGCCAGCAGCTCCTGCTGCTCCTGCCCTGCTGCTGGCTGCAGCTGGCCCTGGGCTGGGCTGGGAGGAGAGCTCAGCAGGGGCTGGGCCAGGGGCAGGAGAGCTGGCAGCCATCCCTGCAGGGCTCCCCACAGCCAGAGACCCCCCAGAAATGGCTGTTTGCCTTCGGGCCCCTGTGGGGAGCACAGCCTGCTCTGTGCTCAACAGTGCTGCTGTTGGTCTCTGTGTGGTGGTGAAGGGCTGAGGCACAGCGGGGTTCAATTCCAGCTCCAAACGTGGAGTGGGACCAGGGGTCCCAGCAGTGGTGGGCACTGGAGCTGCTGTGGCAGGCACAGGGACTGCAGGCCGGGCTGTGCTGCCCACTGGAAGCACGAAGAAGGCTGAGGATGTGCTGGGAGCTGCTGGAGATGGCAGCAGCTCGGTGCCTGGCAGCCTTTGAGGGGAGGACTGCAGGGCTTTGGTGCTGGGCGATGCCCTGGGAGGGGGTGTGGAAGGCAAACACCCCGTGCAGGGGGCATGGGCTGGGCTGGGGGTGGGCACTGAGCCCAGCTGCCCTGCAGCCCCTGAGCTGCTCCCAGCCTGGGCAGGCTCTGGGGAGCTCCGGGATCCCTTTGCTGCCAGGAAAGGAGCTCCAGGAGAAGATTGTGGCCTTTCAGTGGTGAAATTCACTTTGGGGGAAGACTGGAGGCTCTGAGTGGACACCAGCTCTGGTGGCACAGGGGAGGTGCCAGGCTGTGCTGCCAGGGAAGGCAAAGCAGTGCCCGTGGTCTGCTGGGGATGGGGAGCAGGAATCTGCATCTCCTCGGGCAGCCTGGGCATGGTCTGCACTGTGGGGCTCATCCTTGGCTCCAGCGCATGGCCTGGGGCTGAGGGGACAGCTGGGGACAGGCCCCTGAGGGCTGTAGGAACAGGACTGGCTGGCACTGGCTCAGAATTGACTTCTGCTCCCTCTGCTTGCTGTGTGGGCACAGTGGGCAGAGCAGTTCCAGGTCCCACACTGGGAGAGGAGGCACTGGTTTGCACTGGGGTACCCTGGCTGCTCCCAGTTGTCCCCACACTGGTGGCCAGGTGGGCCATTCTGTGGTCACCCTGAGGAGAAGGCAGCACCTGTGCCCTGTCACTGGGCAGCAGGACAAACACAGGCCTGACCAGGACCAGGCTGGAGGGGCTCAGGTGGGAGTTTGCCAGGCCCAGCGCTGAAGAGTTGGGTGCTGCCAGGATCTGCTGGATGGAAAGCAGCCCCCCAAGGCTGGAATTGGGGAATTCTGGGGGCAGAGGGGAATCCTGCATGGGCTGCAGGCAGATCATGCCATCAGTGCTCTTCAGCACGAAGGACAAGTGTGGGGATGAGGGCAGCAGGGCCAGGGGGGCCCCTCTGGCTGTGCTGGGGGTCTCGGCAGCTGCATCAGGGAATGTCCTGAACTGGTGCACCAGAGCCTGTGCCAGGGCTGCTGGCACCTCCCTGGGCACCCCTGGACCAGGCTGGGCTCTGGGGGAGCTGGGATGGCCTCCCTGGGCATGGGAGGAGAGCAGGACAGGAGCAGGAGCTGCCAGCTCGGTGGGGCTGGGGGGGACAAGGCTGGGAACTGCCTGGTCCCTGTGGCTGAGTGCTCCAGAGGGGCTGGGGACAGGGCTGGCTGCTGGGGATAGTGGTGGAAAATCAATTTTAGAGATGGGGCTGGCTGCTGGGGTCAGTGGAGGAAAATCAATTTTGGGGACAGGGCTGAATGCTGGGGTCAGTGGAGGAGGATCACTTTTGGGGACAGAGCTGGCTGATGTGGACAGTGCTGGAGAATCAATTTTGGGGACAGGGCTGACTACTGGGGTCAGTTGAGGAGAATCAATTTTGGGGACAGGGCTGGCTGCTGGGGTCAGGGCTGGAGAACCAGGTTTGCTCCTTCTGCCTGTGCTCACCTGCAGCATCCCAGCCAAGGCTCCCTGGGGCACAGGAGGGGCAGAAGCTCCTCGGAGCTGGGAGCCAGAGCCAGGAGGTGAGGATGAGGTGCTCGGGGTGTGGAGGCCCATGGGCTGCATCCCAGCACGAGCAGCAGCAGAGGCAGCAGGAGGCTGGAGCCCTGCTGGGACAGAATCCCAGGGCTGGAGGTCACCGTTCCCAAAGGTGGGCATTCCTGGAGAGGGGGCAGCTGTTGCTTCTTTGAGCTCTTTAGTAGTTGGGGAAGGTTTGGATGTGGCAATCCACAGCTGGATGAATGAGGATGAGCTCAGAGGAGGCTGTGGGCTCTCAGGGGAGGGAGGTTGTCCAGGTCTCCCTGTCACTGCCCAAGGAGCAGCATCTCCTTGAAGTGCCATTTCCTGGGAGCTCCTGTTGCTCTCTGGGGGAAGGTGCTTGGTGCAGTTGAGAGCCCTGTGCAAAGAGAGGGGCTGCTGTCCATCCCTGGTGCCAGCTTGGAATGGAGATGGAAGGGACTCTTCAGGAGCTGGGGCTTCCATCCACAATGAAGAATTCACGGTGCCTGCAGGGAGGGTGTGAGGAGCAGGCAGCTGGGCCGGGTGTCCTGAGCCCTGTGTGACAGCTGAGCTTGAATTCCTGCCCGTGCTTTCCTGCTGCAGAGGGGAGAGCTCAGCGGGGCTGGCCTGGGTTGTTCTGGCATGGACTGAGCCCAGGAACCCTGGAGCTGGCTGGGCTGGGGTGGCAGAAGTTCCAGCATCCGAGCTCCTCCTCATGTGGGCAGGTGTCTCCCCTGCTGTGGGGTTGGTGGCTGTGGGCCCTTTCCCTGTGGGCAGCACTGCTGTGGGCAGCATCCCTGTGGGCAGCACTCCAGTAGGCAATATTCCCATGGGCCCTTTCCCTGTGGGCATCAATCCTGTGGGCCCTTTCCCTGTGGGCATCGTCCCCGTGGGCAGCATTCCTGTGGGCTCTTTCTCCGTGGACATCATTCCCGTGGGCCCTTTCCCTGTGGGCATCAATCCTGTGGGCCCTTTCCCTGTGGGCATCGTCCCCGTGGGCAGCATTCCTGTGGGCCCTTTCCCCGTGGGCAGCATTCCTGTGGGCCCTTTCCCTGTGGGCAACACTGAAGTGGGCAGCACTCCCATGGGCCCTTTCCGTGTGGGCATCACCCCCATGGGCCCTTTCCCGTGGGCCCTTTCCGTGTGGGCATCCATTCCTGTGGGCCCTTTCCCTGTGGGCAGCATTCCCGTGGGCTCTTTCTCCGTGGACATCATTCCCGTGGGCCCTTTCCGTGTGGGCATCACCCCCATGGGCCCTTTGTCCGTGGGCATCATTCCCGTGGGCCCTTTCCGTGTGGGCATCACCCCCATGGGCCCTTTCCCTGTGGGCATCATTCCCGTGGGCAGTGCTCCCGTGGGCCCTTTCTCCGTGGGCAGCACTGCCGTGGGCAGCCAGCCCTCCCCTGCCCTTCCCAGGGAGATCCCAGCTCCGGGGGGAATTGCAGATGCTGCCATTTCTCTCCTTGGCAGATGAAAACCCAGCGCTGGGGTCAGAGGAGAAGTTTTAGGGCTTGGCACCTCCCCGTGCTTGATGGCAGGAGGGGAAGAGAGAGCCGTGAGCTGGGGAGAGTCCTGGCGTGTCCCTGCGCTGGGAAAGGGCTGGGGCAGCCCCGAGCTGGAGCTGGGAGGGCTGAGCCCAGCCCCAGGAGCACCTCCTGCTTCTCTCTGCAGGGCTGTGGGGGCCTGTGGTCCCTGTGTGGAGCCGTTCCAGAACCTTCCAGGAGGTGAGTATCCATCCTCGGCTGTGGGGACCTGTGGTCCCTGTGTGGAGCCGTTCCAGAACCTTCCAGGAGGTGAGTATCCATCCTGGGCCTGTGATCCCTGTGTGGAGCCATTCCAGAACCTTCCAGGAGGTGAGTGTCCATCCTGGGTTTCAGGGGCCTGTGATCCCTGTGTGGAGCTGTTCCAGAACCTTCCAGGAGGTGAGTATCCATCCTGGGCGTGTGATCCCTGTGTGGAGCCATTCCAGAACCTTCCAGGAGGTGAGTGTCCATCCTGGGCTGTGGGGACTGTCCTGTTTGCAGCTCTCCCAGTGTGGGACACGGGCTCAGGGCTTGTTCCAGAGGTGGGAGCAGCTCCTGGGCTCTGGAAGGTCCCCTCAGCCCAGTCCCCCTCGGTGATGGGCTCGGGGCTGCTCTGGGCTGCTCCAGCAGAGCTCAGGGCCAGCGCCCCACCGCCAGCATGG